AGATGTTGAATAAATGTTGTTCATTTTCATTTGACATCATTGAAAAAAACTGCTACCCCTTTAGATTAGGGCTCCAAGGCCCTTGAAATTTTTTGCTTTATAAATCAAAACGGTAAATATTTGGATAAAGTTTTCGATGTGAAATTTGTTCATTAACATCTTATTGATATCATGAAAACGCTATTTTGTTCGAACTGGAAATCTTACAGATTATTCGGAGATAATATTCTCCAATTGTATAAAGTTTAAAAAAAAAACAAGACGGGAGAGAGGAAAAATACTCATCAACATACCTTCCATTAATATTCAATATAGCATAATCAATCAATCAATCGATCACAAATCCAAAATATTTTGATTTCATATCATAATGCATGAGTAAAATATCAAGGTATCATTTTTAAATTTCTTCTTTATATATTCTTTCTCTTCAAAATTAAACAGCTGATAATTGTATGTAAATTATCTTAAATATTAGAGTCTTGGAGAGGCCTGCATTGCTAATTATACAATAGCCAAGACAATTAAGAGTTTAAACTCATAAACTCAGCAAAACAGTATAGAGAGGATATCACGTAAAATATTTACAATAGAGCAATGAAACATGCGTAAGACAAAGAAAAAAAGAGGTTACACCATTCGTCTGTCTGTCCGTTACATTTTCTCCCTTTTGGTAAACAGATTTAATGTCATGATGCAAAACCTGAAAATTGAACTAAACTATATGGAATTATCTCTCTTGTGGAAAAAAAAAATTGAACGTTTTTTGGAAGCAAGGTAAAGACAGGTTTATTATTCAATTGAGCTAATGAGATTGTGATTTCAGTAATGAATGTTTGCATTTTACATTTCTAAATTTAAATCGATGAAAATTTTCCTAATATTATCATCATGTATTATATAATATAATCTGCTAAAGAACGTTCTAATAAATAATTTTTTGCCATATGTTATTGATTTCAAGGAGAACGTCCTTGCTTTATTGAACCAGTTTAAATCACACACGTCGGCTTATGATAAAAAAACCCTATAGATCAACTGTAACAGATAACAGAGTAAAAATCGTAATTAATTTCCCGTATATTTGATTATGCGATTATTTTTCGCTTTTGCGATCATTTTTATTTAGACAATATAAAACATGCAGAAATTCTGTTAGCTATACTGTGGCATAAGAAGATAACCAATTAAAAAAAGATGAATTCCAAAATCGTAAAAATAGCATAAACAAAATAAAAACTTACCCCTTTTTCGAACAATTCCCAACTTGCGAGAAGAAACTGGTTATACGGTAGTGCAATATATAGCAAGAATATTGCCCCCTGACTGCCATATTGGAGGTCCAGTTACAGTGAAGCGATTTTTTTTGGAGCAACCAATTTTAAACTTCAAAGGCAGAAATATATTGGCAAAATTCTTTAAAATGATAAAATTAAAAATTTTAGGAAGCTTGTATTTAACAAAAAATCCGTAAAAATTGATATATTTCCCCAATTCCTCATTCTGACAACTTTATATTTCGGTTGAGGAATGAAGGAATCCAGTTTTTTGTTTATCCAATATGGCGATCAACGGGAAATAACGCTTGCTAAAATTGTGCCTATCGAAAACTATCTATTGCGTCTATTAAAAGCATATTCCTTAATTGATTTAGTGTATCCACTGAAGGTAAAGAACTACTGATTTTTCTTTAGCATCAAATGCATTCATCCTCAAAAACAAAAAAGTATGTTTTTTTACTCATGGCAAAATGCATAAGAAGGCTAAAGGTTTTGGTGCACCTCACATTTTGGTAGGAGCAATGGGTGGATTAAATGGATCTTCACCCTCTTCTACTTATTTTGCCTGTGCATAGTATATTATAGAACAACCAAGATATTATATATGATCGTACCACCTCAATAAAAACGTCGAATGATCTTTTTTTTTTCTTTGCTTGTCGAGGAATCTTTGGTAGTTGATAGTGGCTGAAAACTGAAAATATATGGCTACGCCCCCCCCCCCCCCAAATGAAATTGCTTTCCATGAAATTGCATACGGATTTATGCAATTTATACTATGTTTATCCTTATCCAACGGCAATTCATCGGAGATCCTATATATAACACATAGCACTACACAATCCCTTGTTTGATGATCAAACAATGTGTGACATTTTAATATAATATACTGTTTTGTCCTGTCCATGTGTCTCTCTTTTTTCTCGCTCTTTCTCTGTTATCAACCTTAATCTAGCCCATAACTCTTCAGTGGGTAAAGTCAGAGATTTTATATTTCACAGGTGTATTCATAATGAGAAAAACTTTCTTCGGGTAACATAAATTTGATCTCTTGAGCTTTGGTGTTTCACCTGCTTCTACAAGTCAATACCACCATGAAGCATATGGAAATTACAAACAGTGTTTAAACTCAAAGTCCATAAAACATGACAAAATACGAGTATAGCTAACATCGGCCTCAAAACATCAGAGGTTGGATTAGGTGCCATGAAGGAGTGAGCATCCCCTGTCAACCGGTCACAGCCGCCGTGTCCTCCTTGTCATGATCGCAGCTAGAATAAGACTGCCCTTAGGAAATACATCTTAAAATAGTCCCTGAAAATCAAAATAATGTTGAAATTTTTTGTAATAACCATGAGTTTTTACTTGATGGGATTTCTTCTAAATGCATGTAAGGGGGTCTCTTTTTCACTTACATCAGCTGTTTGTCAATTGACACGTTGAAAAAAAGAAAAAAAATGTATGAATACAAATATCGTAATAGCTCAACGATAAACAAATAATTGTATGTGGTTTGTTTGTGTTTTGTTAAGGACAAATTCCTTAACCCGAAAAGTGCTGGGAGCAACTTCCTCATGCCCGGGAATAATATAATTTTTTTTTTTAATAAAGTTCGTTCATTAAGATTATACGCATTGAATTAATGTAGAATTACAGAAAAAAAGCAACAGCACAAAACTTGCTCCAAACATTTTTCAAAATAGTAGGAGGAATAGCTACAGGTATATTAAAAATCATAATTTATAGTAAAGCAGATATCGTTGAACGTTTCTGAATTTCGAGGGGTTGTGTCCATGACTTTAATAGAAACTGTGCGTCAAACAAGTCTAAAATGTCATCTCAGTCATAACAGCGAGATCAAGGTGACTTTAATTCTACATTCAAAAACTGTTATAATAACAAGATAGGTAACCCATTGATTTATATTTACAATATCTATGAGAAAAGACTGCATGTAAGAGTGTATGAAAACCGAAAATTAGTTTTTATTCGCCGAGATTCATTAGCAAAATTTTACCGTAATCGAAATTTCGAAGTTCTGAATAAGCTGGATTACACTGTACTTAAAAGAGTCCTGAACTTAGCTGCAATGGGTAAATAATCTAACTTGGCCATAAACTTTGAACACTTGGAGCAAGGGTTTTTATTCTTCACACGTGTATTCCCTTGGACAAGACCTTTCAGCTGGTATAATATTTTGAGCTTGACGAGGGAGTTAGACAGATGTGATTTCTGTTCACATATAGTCCATTGTCTCTGATCATTTTTACAGCGAAATTAGACGAGTACCCTATGTTTAAAAGGAACTAAATAAACTCAATATGCAAGCTAAAAATGATACACTATATTTAGCAATCTACTCAAAAAATCACATGCATGAAAAAGAAGGGGGATATCTCTTTAGATATTGGATATATCACGTAAGATATCTGCGCTATATTGCATTGAAAAGCAAATGTTCCTAATTACATTATCATACAGATCCTGGTTTATACGGATTTTTTAAGCTTGTAGAAGAAGTTTCCCGAACGTAAAGTACGATTTTATTGCTACTTGCTGCTCCGTGACGTCCTCCAACGTCATGGTTTTTTGCTTTTTTTAATTAAGTCCATATGTATTTAGAAACTTATATCTTTTAAATGGAGCGACATATTACATAACCTGATTTCATTTTAATTAATACAGCAATACTTTATTTAAACATGTAAATTTTATTTCGTTTCTTATTTAAACATGTAAATTTTATTTCGTTTCAGCTCCATTTATCAGTGGAATGGCTGTAAATACTATAAAAAGAAAATTAGTAAATTACTCAATTTTGACGGTGCTCCGTGACCCCATTTTTGCTGTTCTAAATCCTTGGTAATTTAAACAAATATGAATATACATTCCAATTTTTTTACTCATATTATTTGAATCTGTTGTTTAAATATTTGTGCAAAATTTGGATATAATATGACGTTAAATAAAAAAGTTAGGACAAAAGTCTACGAACTTTTTGAATGACCCTCGTAGATATCTTTTATATAGTAAAACCCGTATAATCTGACATGCACTGGGAGACAATTTTGTTCCAGAATACACCGCGTGCTAGATTTCACAGTGCACGGGGATGGACATTAGTAGAAAGGAGAATGAAATTCAATATTGGATTAATGGATTATATAGGTGTCGGATTAAACAGTTTTCACTGTAAAACGGTTCATATATCAACCTCATCCTCGTTATCCTTCCAGACATGTAGCAGTGTTTGTAAATAAGAACAAATTATGTCTGATTTACAATTTATTGCAACACAAACAACGTACTTTACCTAAGTACATTCGTTAAAAAAATGAACAAAACTTTACAGCTTCAGGAAATAGTAAAACCATAAAACACATTCAAAAAGAATCCTTTAAAAGTTTTCGTTCTTTATATGAAACATTTTTTTTTAAATAAATAAATAAATAGAATTCATAATAAATCTAAAACCGTCTCTTTTAGTTGAAATATCCTGCATCTGACTGATGGATGGTCGTCGTCAATTTGAGTTCTCTCCATTTTGAAAAGACATCTGTTGAAAATTTAAAAAAAATATATAAGTATTAAATGATGTTTCATAAATGAAAGGCCATGTTTGTTTTAACCGCGTATGGATTTTCTACTAACCCATTCAAAAGTTCAATTAAATGCCTAACAGTAAATTTAAACATGTCATTGGGGTATAATGAGGTTTACCTAGTGACGCCTTAACATCATTGCGGTCCCCCTTATAGACAATCCATCTCTCACTGTAGGATACCACGGGTTGTTCCAGGACCCCGGGGACCATTGCCCGTTAAGGAAGGCGAGGTTGCAGGCGTTGAACCACCAGCCTCCTCTAACGGTATTAGCTGCAGCACAGTGTAATGTACTATACCCGTCATTGTCCCTGTCTGGGGTCGAGAAGTACATCCCAGACAGATCTCTGTTAGGGTCCCCATAATCTAACATTCGGTCGCCTGTACAAGAAAAGAACAATATATCACAGAGACATTGGATTTATTTAAGCATTAAATCCTTAGTTTATGTAAGATATAGTCTCATAACTGTAACGGCGTTGAAAACAAATTAACAAACTGAGTGACGCTCGTTACATTTTTTAAATCAATGCCATAGCTGCAAATTTGATTAAAAGTCAAAATCCCTGTAATAAGCTAAGGTGAAATTACAATTAATGACAAAAATTGCAACAGCTTCTGTTCAATGTTCGCGAAAATTTAACTACGTCTAAATTAGAGGGTATCCCATGCTGTCTTCAGTAAAGAGCGATATTACCGGTATTTTTCACCTACAACTGATACCTTGAATTATTAAAAACGTTCTATGAACATGCGATTAGCAATGTTTACAGAATATTGGAGGAATTTTTTGGGGGGGCATTGACTATATACAATATTTTTCAATGAGAAAAAGTTGATGATAAAAGTGAAGTGTGTTCAGTTTTAAGAAATGAACATTGATACACTTACCTAAGGTTCCCGTGGCAGGTCCTGCAAGAAAGAGTTGATATTTCCCTGTTTCGTTGGACACCGAAAATCCATCGTACATTTCATACAACGTTTAACCATCCTTGAGAGTGATAGAAACATAAAGGGATGAGTTCTTTCCCTTTGTTAACAGATGGATTACGTCATTTCCTGTATTAAAATATATTTGAAATCAACTGCAAAGTCTATTGCAATTTGATAATTTTACTTTGTTAATACATTCTCTCGAAAATAAAAAAAAAAAGCTGCTTTTCTCTTAAAGACCACTGAGTGATTTATGATTGAATTGTTTCTTTATAAAAATAAAAAAATTGTTAAAATCATTTAAGCTCTCAAAATTTTTTAAAGATTCTCTCGGTTGAAAAAACCTCTCTAAGAGTGAAAAAGATCATTGTCAAAAACATTTAACCTAGTCTCAAAATCAAATTTTTGAAACGATTCCATTATATGTTACAATGAATTTTAGCCAAAAAAATGGCAATATTGATTTTAACCAAAAAAAATTCACCTGTATAGCACTTTTAGAAAGAAATTTATTTTCCTCTTTTGAAAGATATTTGTGTTTTCATAAATATTACTATTATTTTCCAAGCTTTTTCATATTCTTGCCAATCCAGTTGTTTGTAATTACCAATCCAGTAATCCAGTTCTGGGGCACCAAATCCACTTTTATATTCCGCCCAGTTCCTGACGAAACTCACGGATCCGTTTACACGTTTTTGAATTGCCTTTAAAAAAATAACAACCATAGAAATACAACTCACTGCTTAGAACAAATGTATATTCCAAATGTTAATACAAACTAAAACATTCATATTCTATTATTGTTTTCAATAATTGGAACACTTAATGAATTATACTATGCAGAATGAATATTGATATTTGTACTCACCGTCCATCCCCCGCCCATTGTCTTCATATCACAGTACACGGTGACAGGAATGGAAATGGTGCGATACGGGTAAATATCGTACACACCGGAAATAGAGCCATTACCTCTATGAAGATCTTTACAATCTAAGGGAATTGCTGAAAAGGGAAAAATAAAATAAAATGCAGGAATCAAGAATTGGTCAATATATGGTCGACTATCCTGCAGTGTTTGTTGAATCTGACGTCATCTGCGGGAAATTGGTAAGCAACAGACATCAGCTGAAAATTTGTCAATGTTCAACCAAACGTTGTCGTTCAGTCGACCGACGTACGAACGACGTATAGACGATGCCCAACAATGTACGATCGATATGAAATACATTAGCTTGAACACCGGTCTATGATTACCGGTTCATCACTAGACCTTTATAAGTCCGGCCGGCAACCACCCCCTTTTCAATCAAAAACACATCGGTTGCCCATCATATACACCATTCTGGATAATGTGACTGATACTAAAAGGATTTATTTTCCGATTGGGACCAATTTTGGGACATCGCTTAAACAACTTATTACCACACCTCTACGGCCACCGATTGGAAAGTATGATTTAGGCATTAGGAACTAATTCTTACTACGCGGTTCTAATGGTCTGTAAAATGTGGAGACTGGAACTACGAATGAGACCGTGTAAACCGAGGTCCCGTTTCGCTTGAGATGCGGCACGAAAAAGATCCCCTCTACTCAATGGCTCCCTTACATGCCGAATATTGGACATAATTTGCAGCCCGCTATTTGCAGAGGGGCTTTAAAAAAATACTCTAACGGAAATATTCAAACATACAAAAATAACATTTATACATACAGTCCTGTGAGTGGTGTGAGTAGTATCTCCAGCCACCCTCATTAGACACTCCCGACGTGAAAACCCTCTTGTGGGTACGACATTTCTTCATCTGTGGATGGAATCCATAGAAACTACACTCGCCTTGACACATCGCGGCACACTCGGTTAAAGAATGAGAATCAAGTTCTCTTAACAGCTCGTTATCTGATTTCTTATTGTTAAACTCTATTTTCAAAGTATATTTCTGAGAAAAAACTGTAGCTTCGCACAAAGCCATGTAGGCAACAATTAAAGTGAAAACACACAAATTGCTCATTTTTCTTTTAGTTTTTAGAAAAAAAAAACTGCCCTTTTCTTGTGAATCTCTCAAATGTTGCCAAGTGGTCTTTAAACTGTCATATATATATATTTATATCAGAACCTTAATCAATGCCTGAACAGTGATTGGCCAGTTGTTATGTACTCAATATTTTAATGTTGTTTAAGTATCGATTTAATGTAGTTAATATGAATTTTCATAAATGTTTAAATTGACATTGCAATTTAAAATATAGCAGTGAAAATTGCATTGTTTTTACACTGAGTGAATGCCTGTTTCGTTGTGATATTGTACAGTGCTTTTTTTTAATTATTATTTTTCTTTGGCTGTCTTTGAAATATGGAATTTCAATATATATTTTTCTTTAGCACCTCACTCTCAATAAAATTAAAAATCAGCAATTTGGAAATAAAGTTCCAAGAAACAATTATCTGACTATGAGGCATTATTTAGAATATATTGATTTATTTCAACTTTGTTACATTAGCTTCTAAATGTAAATGTTACATAGCACATCATTAATGGTTTCTTTTCTTTTGATTTATTTTTTTGGACAGCACATAGTGCATCTTAGAAGGACATAGACTTTGTAAAATATAATAATAGGAATATTCTTGAAGAGAGTTCTTTGGCGTGATAAAAACGTTTTTAAAAAATATTCTAACGTTACATATTCAAAATTATGCGTTTGTAATACGTTGTTTTTATAAGAGACCCAAAATTGTGAATAGCTAAGATTGCACCATTGCTATGGATCTTACACACTTTTTTAACTTCAAAATTCAGACGCAATATTTTCGTGGCTTGCAGGAATAACAGAAACAAACATACGGGGAACAAGGACTGGGGACGTCATTCCATGACATCATCGCAAATTATGGAGGATTAAATGTTTCAATCTAACTTAAAAACAAAGGTTATTATATTGTCTTTGTAATACTTCACTAGATTTTTAATAACGAAAGGAAAAGAATATACACGTGTAATTTTAGCAGCAGTAACAGCCTGAAACTGGCAGAAATTTACCTTTTCGTCGGTAAGTAAAATGTCATCAGTGACTGGCCGAGTTGGATGCAGGCAAATATTATAAAGAAATATTTCCTGGTTTAAAATATATGGAAATAAACTTGCTTGTCACTTCACCTTAGCATACACGAGCAACTTGATTTGAGGTAAATACCCCTGTAAAAGGTACTATTCATACTAAGTACGTAAAGAGGTTGGAATAACTATTTAAAATGTCTTTAATGTAGATCGTATCATTATTTTGATATATTTAGAAACACCGTTATGAATTTTAAAATTTGTTTGTTATCAATTAAAAGTTTGGAATAACCAATCATTAAGCTTTGTTTTAGGTCTCTTCATTAAATCAATATACATAAATTTATAAGCATCGTCATATTTTTTTTTACATTTTGTTATCATTTTCTACCAAAATCAACGTAATTTATAGCTAGAAAATTAAAACTTGCTTATCATCGAGCGATTTGGTGCAAATAAAAACCATCTATCCTGATTGGTCATTTTTAAGTAAAAAGAATAAGATAGCACGGACCAGTAAAACATATGGAGATAACGAACAGTATTTAAGCTCAAAAGTCCATAAAACATTACAGAATAGGAGCAGAGCCAACACGGACCTCCGAAACATCATAGGTGGGATCAGGTGCCATGGAGGACTGAGCATCCTGTTCCAAGCCGTCCCACTAATGTGCTCCTTCTCGTGATTTGGGAATATGGGTAAAACCTGTCTTCAATCTATTGTGTAGATAATGGACTAACAATTGGTAGGAAAAAAGTCAGTCAGCATTTAAATTGTATTTGCTGACAATATCATTTTATCGACCATGGAACTGAAGAAGTGATGGCTTTAAACAAAACTCCTGATATTCTTGTTTCACCAACTTGTTTGCAATTAGCTTCGTATTAGAAATTGAAAGGACCAGAATATGTTTTTGTGTATCGAATCAATTGTGAGATATAAATATCCATTGGAAATACGACTGGAATCTAAACAGTGCGCGCTACCGGAGACCTTTCATGATTGCAGTTTTTACATAAATGTAAAGATCAAGCAATAGAAACCAGATTATTCTTTCTTTCATAACTGAGATATTTACACAATCATTTTATATCTTGAACCATTCATTTTGATAAAAACGCCATTGTTCACAAACTGTTTGCAAAAACCTTGCATGTTCCTAATTATTATTGCTACTTGAAAATTACACGCCTATGTAACATTTTTTTTTCTAAAAAAAACTGGCCTTACCTTTTTTGAAGATGATAATGTTCTATGTGCATTACAGAAACCTTAAAAAAAAAACGAGTACCTATTTTAGTCACAAAATCTTCCATTTTATCCTTTAGTATTCAATTAGAAATCGATATTAAAATCTATTACCTTGTTGAAATTGAAAAAAAGGAAATTAATCTATTTGTATTCTTTACTCTGTTAGTGTTAATTTATATACTTACTTTACTTGTTTAAATATATACTCTAGGATTTTAAAGTATTGTTCAGGAATTTAGATTTAATATTCAAACCTTCTTTAGTGTATTGTGTTTCTGGTTAACTGGGAAATATAACTCTTGAAACTGGACTTCTTTTTTATACCAAATAGTTTTAAATTGTGATTTTTATTTCTAAATTCATTTCTTCACAGTAATACACTGACAAACTTTTCGTGTCTCTTCATTGCTCATTTTCCTAATTGTTTATGCTCATATTAAATAAGATAATTACATTGTACAAAGCTATCTTGTTTAATAAAATTCATATGAAGTACCGATATTATGATATATTTTCATTGTGTGAACTTGTTTAAAGATGTTGCCCATTTTTTACACTGAGAATTTTGAAAGTATGTAACTTATAAACAGAAAATAACACATTTCATCAAAAAATAAGAAAAAAAGTTTTTGAAATATATGCATGATAGCAATATTTCTATTTGAAAATTTGAAATCTACATTTTATAAGTGTTGCTGTAATAAAATCAAAAACAAGCTATGGGTGTGAGGAGCCTCCTTAAATTATATGTGCAGTTGAATCATGTATAGAAAAGCAATTGAAAAACATTATTTTAAAATAAGTAGAAAAAATAAATGTTATATACATTAGCTTCGTTTTCTTTGATCTTTAGGTCCCCAAAGTTTTTTTCATGAAATCCTGCTCTCTTCATAGCTAATTGCAAAATAAAAAAGGTTCCCTTTACGCAGAATAATGCATTTTGTTTCCTCAAACATAGCTTTTAAAAGAGTTGAAACGTCAAAATGCTAATGATTGATTAGATCATTACATAGAACTGTATTTTTACTGACCAATTATTTCTACGTCAAATTATGAATATTTTATCAGCGTAATATTTTTATTTCCTGCACATAAGGAAATTAATTTCACAACAAGTAATTTGAAGTTAAATTATTGATTAGACGTCATTAACTTTTAGGGGAAAAAAATTCTATCCATCTCATTTCATAACATTAGTTATTTGGATAAGGAAATGCATTAAAAATGACAAGTTGTTAAAATATAAGAAAACTATGATGAACTACAGTCAATCTCAAAAATCTATATGAAAAAAAAATCGGTTGAACCAACATGTAAAATATCTGACGGGAAAAGTCCATATTATCTAAAATCAGTATCTTAATTTATTTTTTTTCTAATTCGAGATTTTGGGCCATTGAGTGAAATGCTCTCTGACGTTTTCCTATTTATTGTTAGTCCAATATTTATGCACTAAATTGTCGACGGATTTTTCCGTTATATCTCGGTCATGACAAGGAGCTTAAGGTGGGTGTGAAAGGTCGGCAAGGGATGCTCACTCTTCCATGGCACCTGGTCCCACCTCTAAGGTTTTGGAGTTTCGAGTTTGCTCAGCTCCTTATTATTGCTTTATGGACTTTAAACCTTGAATACAGTTTCAATCTCCATATGTTTCACTTAAAAACTTACGACTTAATTTTCAAATTTATTCCCAAAAAATGTAAACGATTAATTCCAGTCCAGGTTATTTGATAACATTGACAGCTCGAAAATTAACTTTCCCTCTCATTCGTTATTTGCAAAATTATTTCGTTGAAATCATTCTTATTGTACGCACAAGTACTCCGATGTTGACATCAAAAAGATGCTTGGATTTCTGATTGACCATATCTTTGTGGTTTTTGAGATCATATTTTCAATCAATTCTATTTGAATTTCAATTGGTAACAACCCCCTTTATTTAAAGACCTATTTTTGTTTAAATATCAAGCAGAATTCGTCCAAAATATTATACGTGAAAACAAAAAAGAAAAGAAATCACAAGCCATGGTCTTGTAGCTTGTAGCTTTCAATTCGACTTTTAGATATATCAACAACGTATTGTCAAATTACAATCATTATAGCCATTATTATGTCGATACGACATGCGACCAGCCATGAGATTTTAGAGTCAGATGAGGATTTTTCAAAAAATGACATTTAAACGTAATATTGTATTGTATTGATGTCCAAAATTTCGAAGTTGTAAAGTCAAATGTATACTTTTTATAGAGATATTACGTCATATTTAATTATTTTCAATCCAATTAATAAAGAATATTTGTTTTTTAAGCAGTGCAATACATTACTTTTTATGATACAGCTTTTTTTGAAGTTATAGTTTAGGCTGTTTTATAATTAAGTAAACACAAGGCAGATTTTTTTTTTAAAATACACTGCATAGGTCTAAAGAGGGTCATTGGTAGTGGATGTTTTCCGATGAAACCCCTCCCCACCCAACAAACATTCTCCCCTAATATTTCTATTCATCTTTTTTTCCCTTTAACTTTATCATACCCCTGTTAGGAAGGAGGTATACTGTTTCTCCTTTGTCAGGCCGTCTGTCTAGCTGTCTGTCTGACTGTCTGATGGTCTGTCTGTTTGCTGTCCGTAACAAATTTCTCAGCAAGTATTTATCACAGGT